CATCTACCACATTATGTTAATGCAAAATGCTGGTAACTAACAGAAAGCAAATGGTTTAGCAACACTTCTAACAGACCTCTGCAGATCAGATGCACTAAAACACCCAATACCATTGCAAGACCTAAATGCAGAAAACCAAAAGCAACTTTGAACTCCTTCATGAATACATTCAAATAGTTCTGTGCTGACAGCACCAATGTCATCTACCAGTTCCTTGCATTGGCTCTAAGAGGTTTACATACTCTTTGCACTGAACAGTAGTTACCAAATGAAGGTGTCTCTCTGAAGGGGACACTCACTATTCAGTCAGAATCACGCTATGGGGTGTTGTCAGGATGGCTTCTTCAACTTCAGTAGAGGTACTGTAGCCAACACATAGATGTGTTTCAAATGTTTATTAACACTCTGGAAACAGGAAGAAAAAACCCACAAGATTTAGGATCACAGAACGACCGAGGTTGGCACAGACGTCTGGAGGTCATCTGGTTCAACTGCCCCTGCCCAAGCAGGGCCACCAACAGCTGGCTGTCTAGGACAATGTCCAGAGGCTTTTGAGTACCTTCACGGATGAAGACTCCATCACTTCCCTGGGCAACCCGTCACTCTCACAGTAAAGTAGTATTTCCCGCTGTTCAGCGGGAACCTCCTGTGTTTCCATTTGTGCCACTGCCTCTGCTCATGTCACTGGGCACCACCAAAAAGGGCCTGGCCCCATCCTCTTTGCATTCTCCCTTCAGGCATTTAAATACATTGATGAGATATCCCTTGAGCCTTCTCTTCTCCAGGTTGAACAGTCCCAGCTCTCCCAGTCTTCACAGCAGATGCTCCAGTCCCTTTGTCATCTTCACATCTCTTTGCTGGACTTCTGTAGTCCCATCTCTCTCTTGTCCTGAAGAGCCAAGAACTGGACACAGTACTACAAGTGTAATAACAATTACAAGGTAGAACTTCACACTTAAGATAAGGAAGAGGAATTAAAAACTGAGAAATCTAACAAAGAAAAAAAAATTAAATATCCAAAAGCACAGAGAAGCAATACAGTACTATCACACCTCAAGAAAAAACAGCACAACAGCAGAAACCAATCCAGGTATAGAAAAGAAGCATTAAATCAGCATTATATTCTAAGCTGAGTATTTGTGCATGAATGTTCTTTATTGTGTTACCATCTTTGTTTCTCTACAAGTGACTGGGAAAAAGATACAGATCCACCATGACAACATTATGCTCAGCTCCTCACATTATGACAATTCCTCACATTTTTCCAATGGCAGCAGCTTTTGACCAGTAGCAAGGTGAACTAAATTCAGACCAGCCACCTGAAAGTGAAGGATATTATGCTTCTCCTATGGCTGCTACTGTCCCCAGCTTGTTCTGATAGCAAAGCAAGAACAGAAAATCAACAAGACAGTAACAATGCACACAATGCTGATAAATTTCAGCTGAAGTGCAGGAAGCCTACTTCATGGTTATCTTACTTTCACTTTAAATTATACTAGCACAGAACAGACAGAAGCAAATTAAAAATCTCTAATATTGGGGTAAAAGAAAACTGAGCTTACATCGGTATGGTTTCATTTCAGGTACAGAAGGGCTCTGCTGGACTTGGGGCATAGTGTAACTGAGGGCATTAACATCTGTTCCTTTTACTAAGGCAACTTTGGGCAAGTTACCATCTCCACTTCATCAGTGAAATGGAGATAGGATTTTTCTGCCTCATAGGCAAGACTAAAATTAATCTCTATAAACTGCCTGAGTATTCAGGAGTTTTATATTAAATATTAAAATTGATACGAAGATTTTAAACAGGTAAAATGTAATGGAGAATAAAACCCCTTCTACTAACAAATTCAGAACTATTACCTAAACCATATATATATAATCCCTCCAGAAAAGAAAGTATGAATCCATTTAATTACTTCCCTAACTTGTGAAGTTTACTTATTATTTCCTGCCCTCCAGAGTATAAATGCATTTGTATACGTCTTTTCAGTACAGCAAACAACTCAAAAAGTTTCCATGACCGAACAAGCAGCGGTCAAATATGAAAGAAGGGCTTGTTTGTGCAGGGAGCATGGGAGGCAGAAAGAAAAGAAACAATTAAGACAAACCAGGTTAGTAAGGAAGGCACTTACTAAACAGAAAAGAGCACTTGCAATAATTTACTTCCTCTTGAGTTCTCAAGGCAAGCAAGGGAGAAGAGAGATTTTCTTGGAAGATGGAATGACATGAAGGAGTTAACTCGCATGTGTATTCATCAAGACCTTTCAAAAAATAAATGGGAAGTATACAAGATTTATTTTTTTTTCTCTGTGGAGAAAAGAGGACGTAAAAGAATTATCCAGACAGTCATAACTGATATGAAACAGAAAATACAGAATGTGTCCAATCTCTACTAGTATCTACTAGTAGCATGTGAGCCCTTACATGCAGGAATAGAAACTTTAAACAATGCACAGTGCATTGACAGAACATGTTAAAAAGGGAGTTTGCATCCAAATTTAGGAATGACAAGTAAGGAAGATGAGCAGGAATGATATGTGCCTGAGTTTTAGCTCAAAATGCTGGCATGTGCAAATAACTGATAAAATAAGATTAAGAAAAACAGTTTACTGCAGTATCAGAAACACTGTAGTTTTGGGGAGAGTGGGGATGTTCAGAGCATTAGTTCTTCCATACTTGTATTCACATATAGATAGCTGAATAATTAACAGTTTGATGATATTAACGTACTGAAATACTGGGGAAATTCACTGTGCAGTCAATTACTTTGGTATTCAAGCGTGCCAAATAAAGGCAAAAATGTAATATGAAAGCAACTGCAAATGCATACTAATTTAGGAAAATGGAGCTCCCTCAGTCCTCCAAAAGAGGCAGAACTAGTGGCTGTCACAGAGGCAGACTGGTGACATCAACGGAGACCCTGGGCAGCCTTAAATTTTAGTGTGAACTTCAATTCAGGAATAACTAATTCCTGTATCACAGTTTTCTGTAGAGAGGAGAAAGTTGTGTAGCATGAGAATAAACAGCAACTAATTCACATTATAGTTAGGTAATAAATCTTATGGTGACAGAACAAATGTTTTTTTTCTCTGTAGCTTCATAATGCCTATTGTAAAGGGTCCAGGAGCCTATGAGTACAAAATACAAACGCTATTATGATCAGGCTACATGGCAATGTTAGGAAGGATTAACCAACACCTCAATGTAAGTGCTCTTATATGAAAAATAAGGAATTTACATTTGATTTATGGACAAGCCCTTATTTGTATTTCACAGACAACACAAAACCAACATACATATACAGTACAGAAGATCCTAAACCAAAACATTGTAATAACACTTGGAGGTTTTTGTAAGGCTCTCTTACTCGCATGCACTGTTAAGACTCATTAAAAAACCTAACAAAACAACAAAAAAACAACCAACCAATCACCTCCCCCACAAAAAGCAACTCACTGAAATTTAGGTTTTAACGCCTTGGTGAAAGCATAAAACTGCAGAACATGACACACCACACAGGTGGCAAGTGATGAACTACTCTCACTTGCGTTTTCCTTTAACACACTTGCATATTGTTGATTAGCTAGTACCAGACTCACACCTACGAAAATAAAAATCTGACTCAAAAATTTATGCTATTAACTCTAAACAGCCAATATTCATTTGTGTATAAAAATAACTTTTAAAAGTACACCTGTAAAACAAAATGGACATTTCTATAGTTAAGAAAATGAATTACAAAAAAAAAAAAATAAATCTAAACTTCCCCTAAGGTGTACTCCATTAACTCAGACATGTACACAACAGAGAATAAATTAAAAAGTGTATTATTGTGAACACTGTGCTCTCCGAAGTGAGAGAACAGAGGAAAAACTGGATTATATGAACAGTTCGGCAACCTACATGCCACATCTGAATTCTAATCAAGCTTTGTGAGTGACTTCTCATCTAGTTATATAAAACAGATGCCAAATGAACTATATTTACTATGACTTTGTGCATGTATGGAAGCTTTCACATAATTTGATTTCCTTCAGTTCAATAAAGTTTAGCAACACAGTTTTACAGATGGCAAAGCTGAGACTGAAAAATCCTCAAAACAACACTCAAATGCTAATTGGCAAGTTCCACCAACCTAATGGACAGAAATGTTCCATAGTTACTCTCCAGTGGTTCAAAACCTGTCCCTCTTTTAGCTTGATAGGTAACCTGAACTCATGGGAAAAAGCAACCTCATTTAGTGAAAAGAATGCAAAAGAATATGAAAGTTGGTAAGTATTACAAGGAAAGAAATGTCTATCAATCCCCCTGACCTGGTCAAATGCACTCTTGCATTGTAACCCTTTTTCTTATGATAAAAAGCACTGCAACATGGAAATGAATAGCCACAGCAGGCCGTTCTTCTCTTTCAAGATTTATTTGTTGGTCACACTCCCACCTCTCTACCTAATCCAGGACAGAATCAATCCTGCAGTAGCTGGGAATTTAAAAAATGAAAATGTCACATGCAATAAATTCTCCCAACTTGGAAATACCGTGTGTGTGTGGGGTAAAAGGCCGTGTTGACACACCACAGTAGCTCAAATGTTAGAAACAGTGCAGTTATGCTAATACAGCTCTCCACTCATTTGTCCCATTGTGCTAGAGTGGCTATGCTATTCCATGTTCTATTTTATAATATATTTAATATGCCATAAACTAGCTACCAAGACAATAAGCAAAATTTAAGGCACATTTTGTGTGTGTGTGTGCTTTGATCACAGACTCTTTAGAACAGCAATTCTTCCTAAGCGTCTGAAACACACTTTTGCACATTTTGAATACTTTCATAAACCAGCATTTTTGGCAGAAGGCAAGCCTGTGAGATATTTCAATTCTTTGTACATTCCTCCTGACTGCATAATTCTATTATCCAATTTACTTTTGTCTAAGTTGAAAGAACACACACCGAGATGCATCTAAGAGACACAACAACAAAAAAGTCATGACAACATGAGAACAATTAACTGTAAGGTGATCAGTATTTTTAAAGTGCCATTGTTAAATACATAAAATCAAAGAGATGGCAAGCGATTCAAAAGCAAGATGAATATGAAAGTAAGAGAGATAAATGCACTTAGTCTTAAATTAATTTCTTAAATTCACGATGAAAAAGACAGACTGGTATTATACTGTCTCCTCCTGTCATTAAATAAATTATAATCTGTAACCTAATCCTCTTAAATTCATCACAGGACCACACTAAGACTGACACAATACATATTCCAAATACCTTAGCAGATGTTGTTATTCTTTACTCCAATATTGCAAATGAAGACTTTTAATGATACTAATTAAAGGACTTCCACCTCTCTCTATACCATCATGATATGCAGGGCCACAGGCCACTAAAAATTCTGTATTTTGCCACAGAATAAGCAAATAACAGCTTTTTACACCATTGTTTCAATCTTGGCTTTTTCATTCTGTGTTCTAACCCTGTTCAGGCCTAAAAGCCCATTCACCACTTGTAAAACCATAGGTGTTGACTGCACAACCTCAATCTCATTTTTGCTACTTGCAAGCAATAATAAAAAAGAGTAACACTGTAATATTCCCATAGAAAAATCAATTATTACAATAAATACAAGGTTCTGTGGTGACCTAATCAGTAACTTAAAAAAAACCCAACATTTTTATTTAAAATGAAAAACAGTGACAACATACCATATTGTAAACCTTCCACCCTTAAAATCACAATTTGGTCAACCAGTTGCTGATTAAGGTTTCATTAAATGTTAATACAGTATTACATTTAAATTATCCCACATAGACAATTAACGAAGAACCACTAATTTCAGCTCAGCCACATGGCCAATATTATTAAAACGGCCAAAATACTCTTCTCCTGTGTCCCACTTGGAGCGCAGCTTCTCAGCCGTTTGCCAGGAGCTGTTGTCCTTCATTGCCTGATAGTGCCATCTGACAATGGCCTGCAACACCTTTACCGATGAATTCAAGTGCTCTGAAGAAAGGGCTCACAAAAATGTGCGCTTCTAGCAATCTGCAAGCAGACAATATGCCTTCAGCTCCTTTGGTTTTAATAATGTTCCCTTTGGAAAGTGAATCAGTTGAAGACTGTTCCAATAAAATAATAGTGAGTCATAGCCTAGACAAGGCATAAACCACTGTCTATACAGTTTGTGACAACGTCCTTGTTTTTCTTTCTTCCACATTTTTTTTCCAGAGACCATGCAGTAAAGGCAGTTTGATTTTATCCATGTTCTTACTGTAAACATTCAGAAATATACCAAGGACAACCAGTAAGCCTGACCACACGTATCTAAAAGGAAGGGGGAGGAAGAGAAAAAAAATTACCATTAGTACATTAGTACTTCATCTGTAACACTTATATACCAATATTTGTGGATGGAATAAAAAGAAAGCCCCCACAGTAAGGAGAGAAGAGTTCAAGGAAAAAAAACAACAACAAATTAGCGGACTGTGAGAAAGATTTGCTTACATCTTTATTATTCCTATCCTTCCACCTTTCCTTTTCCTGTTCTGGCTGGAAAGCTTATTAAGGTGCATTTATAGTTAAATAACAACTAAGCAGTAACTCCTCTTTCTCACATGAATAAAGGAATCCTGAGGGGTTTTAGTACACTTTTTCTTCCTATGGTTATGAGAACTATACTCTCTGTAACTGGCCCAGTATGTGTTCTCACTCTGTGCCTTACAGCCATACTTTCCAATGTAAGCGCATTTTTGTTTCAGCTTTCCATTATTTTAAGCTTCAAGATTGTTAGCTGGAGTAAACTACACTTGGGCATTTGGCTGTAAGCTTTGTTCTCAAACCTCAAAAGAAATTATGCATAGCAATAGTACCGAGTACTACTTAGCTTCAAACCAAAAGTAATTAGGACCAATGTATCAACTTAGCTGCATTTTTCAATGTAAGCTTTTCCTTAAAATTAAAAAAAAAGGAAGAAACCCAAGCTCAAAAATCTTGGAATATCTCAAGATAACAGAAGCTTGCAGTTGTTTAAAAAGGCCAGTTAAGAGCTCGTAAAAGGGGAAATAATACCACCTGAGCTTGTAAAAGGGCAAATAATACCATCATGGAGAAAATGCCTTCCTTTAGCCAAATCTTCCTTCACAGAGAAAGTACCCAATTTATTAAGTATCATAAGCACTAGATAAACAACAAAAAGAAAAAGAAACAAAACCAACCCCAAAAACGCCAACACGTGTACTAGCTTGTCTTCCAGACATCTTGAAAAATGGAAACTATTTTCTCTAGCATGATTAGCATCAACAAGCCAGTCAATATTTACAGCAGAATGCCAACATTTGTAGAAGATAAGAAATGAAAAGCACTAAAGCCTGAATAAGATTAATCACTGTTGTTATATTTCCATGATCAAGACCACGATTTCTTTATAACACACATAAAAACCCATTCAAAACTATAAATACTTACTGTAATGTGAACGGCTTTGCAAAGAAGAAGAAAGAAAGCACAATGGTCATTGCTTTTCTTCCTGTTGTTACTGCGGAGGAAAACAAATATTTACTTCTTTAAGCATTCAGTTACAGCAAAAGAACATAATCTAGGCTTCAATATTAGATAATATCATTACTTGTCTAGCTAAAACAATGATCATCCTTGGTGCAAACACGGACTGCAGATGCACTAGTCCAGTACGAAACAGTGCTAAAACCATATGCTGTTTGAAACAAGTACACCGCATCAGTAGCATCAGTGCCAGTCACAGTACCTGCAGCAGAGAAACTTCCAGAAGACTTGCTATTTAATAACTTCAAGCTAATCAATTCACAATATCTGAAAGCAACAAACAACTCTTTCAAGTAACTAATGGTATAAATTAACCTGTTAAAGAAGAAAAAACTGGTATCACTATATGGATACAACAAATCTCTTGCCATTTCCACCTCATGCTATTACAGTTCAGTGGTGTTTGGGGCTTTATTTTTAAGTGGAATGGGGTCATCACCTTGGCATTCTTTTGAAGCTACTGAAAATTTACCTAGCAGTGCAGAGAAATACAACTTTGGTTAGAAACCCAAGAAACCCAACGATGTCTGACTTCAGAGGTTTTATTGGGAAGTTTTCATCAAAACCATTAAGAGACCTTCTTCTACATGTCATCACTAGAAAGAATTAAGGGAGTTAGGAGACTTGAGAACACAACCCTGTTACTAAAAATGGAAGTAAACTACCTGTTTGGGATACTCTCAAATTAACTGTAGCTCCAACAATGATTTCAACAATTTCATTGCTATCTGCTACGAACAATACAGTAAATTATGTACTGGGAAGCCTACAGACTTCACCACTGAAACAAAACCAATAAATGAGTAAAAGTTATTGAAATTGCTTAAAAAAACGTGACAGTGCAGCTAGGCGTACAAATTCAGCTATGGTTAAGGGAATGAGAAGGGGCTATTCTATATGATAGTGCAGGCTTCTCACTTGGTAAAACAAACAAATGGGGACAATTGCCTGCACTTAAATAAAAATATGTCTTTTTATTAATGCAAAGTGTTTTGCTTACCATCAAGTACATTTTACTATACAATATTGGAAAGCCTTACTTTTACAACTGCATTCATATCAGTCTCACATTAGTCTTACTGTAACATACTGAGACAAAAGGAACCAGTGACTCCTGATGTAATTTCTCACTGTTTTGGCTAGAAAAGCAAGTTTCAGTCCCTCCAACCTGCCCACACAAACAAATATTTACTTAAAAGCATGTTTTGTAGTAGAAGAAACAGCCTTCACCATTGCTTTATCTGCCCCGTCTCAACTTCTAAGTAGCAATTTTCTTTAAATGTAAAGAAATTTATGTGCATCAAATAAAATGATTTTCTATTACATAAAAAATTAAAGGAGAATGAAAAAGAAAATTGAGTTTTAATTAGAAAACAGTTTACAGATGAATAATTTAAAAAAAATCGTTAAATTACTTCAGTTTTTCTAATTACAATTATTTCTGTTCTTTCAAATCAGTTATTAATTAAAATATTTATGTAACCATTTCCTTCTAAATTAAGTGCCTTTTCTTCTTTTTCTCAATTAAGTCTAATTTCTCATTCTGCTAATAGAAATATAATTTTCATTAAACTCTTTCACCCCACTCCCCCCTAAGAAGGGGAGGGTAGATGGGGGGTGGGAGGGACAGTAATGAATGTGGTGTTCTTCCAAGGCACAATAAACATTTTCACATTGCTACAGGCAAGACAGAAAGGGCTCAAGTGTTAGAATTATCAAGGTCAGGCAAAGGAAAACCTGGAAAGGGTTTGTTATGCCACGGTATTTTTTAGACATGTTTTAGCACAATAAGATTTTTTTATTTTTTAAAAAAGCTATTTTAATACATGAAACAACACTCTCATCTGGGCCAATTTCCAGTCAGAAGGCCTACTGAACTTTGTTAAAAACACACACAAAACAGAAGTGCTGCAGAACAAATAATTAATGGGAAAGCAGAGCATGCAATCCTCAGGTCAGAAAAAAAACTGTATTTTCCTCTCCACGACCACAGATGAAGGCAGAGCATCACTTGACAGAAACCACCTTTTGGGGTAGAAGGAAAAGAGGAAAGTATCTCCATGTCATCTTGCTACAACTTCCCCTGCAGGCCCTTGTGACTAATGTTTGTAGTTTAAAGGAAAGGTAACCTGAGGAAGGAATGAGCCCAGTGTAACCATTCTTGACAGACTACTGTAGCAACTATAGAGGTGATAGAAGAAGCTAAATCACAGCTTTTTGAAAAACACACTCAAGTTACATTTTAAGTTTGGAAGCAACAATTTTCTACAGACAAAGGATTTATATTCTACATCAGTTTGTATATAGTGCTGAGTAATAATTTCAGGGACAGCCTGAAAACAGGTGCACATGAAGATGATGCAAAATGTGTCAGCCTTTTCCTTCAGCGTTGTTAGAAACATAAAAAATGTTAATAGCGCAATCAACTGCTGCTGAAATGAACAGCAAGGTCATTTCCCCTTTTTCCTGCAGCTGGGGATATTCTGATATGTAGACCTTTCAGTCACTTGACTATACATTTCCATTGCAATTTCCCTCTTTAGAAAAACATAGCACAGCATACATGTACAAGATTACTCAGCAGCCTCTTCAATACTGAAACTGTGGCACAGAAGGAACCAGGAAGCTCTCAACCACATATACTAGTAAAGATCAATGGTACACAAATCACAATCAGTCAGCATAAAGAACAGAAAAAAAACGCAGAGTAAGAACAATTCTCAAAAGGTCCTTCCTAATTAATGGAATTACTTTATGCTTTTATACCAAAAGTGGTAAAGATATAATTTGTTCATACCTGTTACAGCCAGAAGGGCACCGAAGATTTTAATCAAAGCTAGAACAAAGGATATACCAAAATACCCAGTCAGGGAGAAAAGGAATGCATAACCGTAAGTCTGAACTGGATGCTGCAACAACAAAAAAAAAGCCTGTTAGGAAAATGTAAAACAAACCCTGAGGTATTGCAAAATGACATAAAACTACAAAATTTAATCAATTGCTTGAGCAATAATAAGCTGTTCAACAATGCATTCATGCAAAGATCCTTATTTAATTTTAGTTAAATAATGGAAAAATAATAATGAAATTATAAGCTCATAAATCTGGTCCTGTGATTGTTTTGTTTTTTAAAACATTACCCTATCTTATACATCAAAGACTGTAACAACCTTCTTAATGTATGAATTATACAAGTTAACCAGTTTACATGATGAAAAGACTTTAGATAAGTGGTGAGATTTTCTAAACCTTACAGAGCAATGTTTTCCAATGAGGTTCTTCATAGAAAAAAGTAAATCTTTACACCTACCTTTGAGCAAAATGTTACTGCAGGGCTTAATCCACTAGTGCATATTAATCCAAATAAAATATACACAAAACCTATTGAATAGGAATACAAAACCTAGAATAGTTTAAGAGAAAATAATTACCAGGTGATACTATATAAAAGGACAAAATTCTTTCAAACGCTTGGTCCTATTAATATGTTCAACTTCTGAGAGTTAAATTTGCAATGTTTGAAGATATTTTTACTAGGATTTCTAGAATAGCTGATTTACAGTGAAAAATGAGTAATAAGTGCTAGATATTCTTCCTACCCACAAGTACATGAAAAAAAAGGTTTTGCAGGGTAGTCATTTAATAATATCCTGAGACCAAAGTTGACTGTGGCAAATCCTTCAAATACAGGATTTCACAGCCTAAATAAAACTTCACACAACTATGTAATTTAATAGTTCAAATAACATCTTAAATGTACTTTGTTTTCTGTTACTTACCCTACACAGTAAAGATCTATGTTATATTAACTGTAATGGTAGCACATAATCACCACAACTTCCAGAAGTGTCACATAAGTTTCATCTTTGTCACTTCAGTTCATGCACGTGATGCACCCGTGTTACGGTTATAGGATTCAAGGTTTTCAATCAGCTCTGACCTAGCTCAGTACTTAAAAAAGCCTATACTCAACAAACAGGTAAACTTAAGTTTTGTCTGTACCCTTATTTAATTCATAGCTTCATACAGCAACAAAAGAACCTTCACCCCATCCTTTCCCATGTAGAAGCAACAATAGAAGCTGAAACTGCCAATCTATGCAGTGCAAGGCATTCAGCTGTTGGACTTTTCCTTGTGAAAAAGCGATACAGTGAACAGAACTCTTCTACACATTACTAGTTAATCAGGCTGACTACACTTTCAAAACTCAGTGTCAATTACAGGCCTTCTTTCAACACAAGTTTCATCAGCTGCTTTTTTGTTATATTATCTCAACTATTTGCAAAAATAAATTTATTAACAATTGATTACAATGACGATATAACAAAAGACTTATCACTGCCCTACAATAAAGGGGGATGAATATACATTTTAAAAACAGAACTGCTTTGAAACTCATGACCTGATCATCAGAGCTCTTATTTTACACTGTTTATATGCACAAAAATTAGCCTCTAGTTCTTAATTTGGCTCTACATCCAGCTTTTCTGCCAAACTACCCAAAGACCTCACTTTCACAACCAGGAATGAGTACTGCATTACTAGTTCTTTGTTAGGCAGTGTGATATAGGTCACTTCATCTGAATAACATACAAGGCAAAATCAGGTATAACCTTCCAGAGCAGTGGTTTCTCTTTTCATCATTGCTTAATCCAGGGCAAGCTCCAAATTCAGCAACAAAACAGATCCTGCGGATGTCACATTCCTTTGCTATTCAGTTCTATTTCCAGATAACTGTCCATTAAACATGATCTCTGATGCAGAAGACCTCTTAAATTTTTACCTACAGTATCAAGCCTGGAAAAATAATTTCTGAAATTCTGCTTGTACTCCTGCACTGATTTCTCCAAACAAAATCCTGGAGTGTAGTATCTAAGCCTCAAAAACCCAAAATCTTTTTATCATTAATCACTACAATGATTCTCTACAAAAAAGTATGAGCATACAATATGAAGAGCAAAATTTGTCAGACTATCACGAATAAGAAGCAAGGTTCCGGAAGTAACAGGAGCATTGTAGGTAAGGCAGTTAGTAACTGTCAGATGACTGCTGGCAAGGTACAAAGTGGGCAAGAAAAGAGTTGAAGACTGTATTTTGTTTTGGATTTCAGAGAGTAAAGCTACAGAAGAAGTCTGCACTAGGTCAGGTCAGGTCCACGTAGCTAAAGATCTGCCTCCTGCAGCAGGCAAAAATGAATACTAGAAAAAAGTACAAAAATAAAAACTAAAACACAGTGACGCTTCTCTGGTATATTCTTCCACTTCCCAGAAACTTTGTTTAAACTTCTTGAGCCAACCTAGATCACTTTCAGCCTTAAATGAAGCTTTCTTCTAATAGATTTTTAATTTCATGTATGAAGTTATCCTCACAAATAAGAAACTGGATTTCCCAGTTAAATGTAAAATACCTGCCAAATGTGTAAATTAAATTTCATCTATTACTTTGGCATATTCAAATAATGTCTGTTATAATAAAAGATTTTCTTGTATTTACTTGACTTTAGAGAAAAAGACGCCAAGTTCAAACATGTTTTGTCTGAAAAAAAAAAAAGACAAAGCAAACCTCACGAACAGATAATCCACATTCCAAGTAAGTATATAAAAAATACTGAGCAAGACACTTCTTACAGAATTATGTATTTCACTGAATCAGGAACACACATATTCACCTATTCTGAAAGTCAGTTTCAAAAGCTTCAAAAAAGGCTGCCTCTCAAATGCTAGCACCCTATAAGCAGAAGTCTAGCAAGTAAGAAAAGCAATGTGTTCCATGTAACACGTGCACACCTATACCAGAAAAGCAGTATGTATTTTTCAGAGATGCACATGATCATTCAGAAAACACTCTGTTGATTTCAGGCCTGCAGGGTAGACACAGAAATTATTGCTAGAAATGAGTGTTTCTGTAGCTACAATATACATACATCTGAAGTTGCACGTAGAAAGCAGCACCCTTGAAACCTTAAAAACCAAATACCAGCAAAAGGCCCCAAACAAGGAGGAAATTTCAAGAACAGTACACTAATAGCTCTCCTTTACATATGCAAGAAAAAAGAAGATTAAGTTTCATGTTCTGTCATTATACGCCTTGTCTATGATACAATACGTTATTTTAAAACTGCAAATCTGGTATTTACCATTTCTGAATTAGAACCATTGTGCAACTTCATAGCTTTTTCTTGTACATTTCCTATAACTGCATCTGCGCAGAGGGCAAGGGATATTAGGACCACACCTAATATAAGAAAGAAAGAAACAAAAACCTGTTCAGAATATTTACCAGCAGAGCAGTGACAAAAACCACTCCTTACTTATCTGGGGTGGGGGGAATAAATCTCAGGAACAAGAAAATCATAACAACCCCCCTCTATCGCATATTCTAAATGTCAGCAAAATGATTTAGTGATACCACTGTAAAGCAGTGTACACCTCTGCTCTCTCCACCAGTTAACTCCTGAGCACTGTGTGTCTCAAAGCTTGACATGAACATTTGGACATTGCTATAAAGAAGATAGCTGTATTTTTTGTAGTAACAAGAGTGAAAAAATGTCAACTGCATTTATTTAGGTATTTGTAATGAAGATAAATAACCAGACACTCTTTTGGGTAGTTACTCCTATTTTTTCCTGAAAAAGGCAAATAAAAAGTTAGATGTAATGGTTAAACAAATGCAAGAGGATTCACAACAGAAATCTTCCATTTCTGAAATATTAATTTTTAAAAACTGCTGTTCAAGTACAAACCCCATGGTTTTAGGTTACTATATTTGTTCACAACAAAGTCATTATGCAGTCAGTAATGTAAGCAGCTTTCCAATAACAAAAATTAGTAACTTTCTATTCACACCAGTCACTATTCATTTTCTAACCTCTGAACTTCCAATTCTTTCCTGCCTGTAGCAACTACTGCATTTAATGATACATACTGGTTGAAATACCACTTTTCCTAAGTATACAATATTACAGAAGATACTACTCATCAAAATCATGTTTACGGTGTGCTCTAGTCTCAATGAATGAGGAGTGTAAGACTAGAAATAAGCAGTGTTATATTTTCTTAATATTATGTTTACTATTGGAGGCCTCAGAATAGGAGTTCTATTGGACCAAATGGAGTGTAAGTTTCTGGCAGAGAAAAAAAAAAAAACAAAACAACCAACAATCCCAGCTCCTAAGATTCTCAGAATTTAAAGATTTGACATTTTTAAGACCAATGAAGTTTAAGCTGGCATCTTCTTGAGAAACTTCTGTGACTTTCAAACCAGCATTTTTTTAGTTTGGGAACCATTTCTTTTCCCAGGCTAGAGTAACACAACTGGGACAACAGAAAAAGATTTGTCATTACTAGAAGTTATCATGCATTGGAAAAGGTATGAGCCAATGGAAATGAAATGGTAACCTTAATACTGATTATGCTGAAGACGCAGATATATTAACTACTTAGATTCAGCTCTGGTCCAAAGGTATAGCTTGCCAATAGCATTTCTGCAGATCACTTTTGTTAATGTGACTGAGTATATCTCCGTGTTCAGTATCATACATTTTCCAGCAGTGCTTAATGAACCAGGCACAACACTGGACAAATGCATGTTCAGTACTGGACTGAGATAAAAAGGTTACCTGGAATCTGAAGTGCAAGTGTGCATGGAAAAGAGAAATGTGGAGACAAGACAGATGTTAATATTACATACATACACAGTTTGGAGTATGAAAAGAAGAATAGCGCTACACCTGCCAAGCAGCAGCAGCAAAACCATGAAAGAGACCAGTAGCGTTATGTAGTATGTAAAGAGTGAGTAGAAACGATTGGAAGAATGGTCCTAAATTATTTCTGAAAGATATTAAACCTGGAGATCTTGCACTAACAGACTTGACTGAAACACTACATTACATTGTATTTTACCTTATTAATGTGATGTTTGAAGTCATTAAGATATTAACACTGCTTATACAAATTGTTGTTGACAAACTTATGTAAATATATCCAACACATTCTCATACTCACAACTGCTACCACACAAATGTGTTAGCATGTTGTTTGGAGTTTACATGCCCATTAAGATCTCTTTAATAATTCACATACATACAATTAGAAGACACAGTAGATGTAATAAACCACATAGTGTCTCCTTAACAACAGAGAAGCTAAGGACAAAACACCCTGGTCTGTGACTAAACTGCACCTGCACAAATAGTCTAGGATGGAAGAATTTGCATGCAATCAGTATTTTTACTGTGTCTTCACTGAAAATAGTTAATTTCACTTACACCTGTAAAGCCAGAACAGCGGAAGTTCCCACACCTCTAATGTTTCAAGGGTATCTCCTTCTCCACACCCTTCCCTTCTGGTCTCTCTTGGAATTCCTGTATTTATTATTCACAGCTATTTAGGATACCTACCACTACCTCTCCGATCTGATAATGACAGGAGATGCTTTGAACTCTTAGCACCAACTCCATATTGAAAAGTATACCTCTTCCTTAGTTACAAGTATGTACCTGTTCTGGCAGAAGAGTTTCTTAGCTGACCTCTTTCATGTGTAAACAAAATCTGTGTAGATACCTTTTTTGGCCCAGCAATACTGAGATTAGATTTCAACAGCAAGAAAGGAAAATAAAACCCCCAAAGCTCACAAAAAACACAAATGGAAAACCTCCTATAATTGTTCATCCAGATAGTATTTTACATCTGCTCATGCTGCATTTTTAGGATTTGCATCAGACAACAAAGATTATGAATTTTGTTTCACATCGCAGTAAAGTTTTGCGCTCTCAGAACTGTGAAATGTAAACAGCTTTGGTCTTAACAAGTTAGTAGAAGTTCTGTGAAACCATGCTAGAATCCTACTCATTTGTATGGAAGCAGTTCTAATAGTTGTGAATAAATCACTGGAAGGAACCCATGAATTTATAGGGCAGCAAGTAGGCAGCAACAGAAATCTGCAATTTTGGAAAACAGTAATTCTAAAGTTAAACATTTTGCTGTTTATGTTTTTCAAAGCTTTAATATCCTTAAATACTTTGTTATTTCTTTGAAGATACTCTTTGAAGACAAAAAGTTCTGCCTTTTGTCTTTCAGTTCTTATTCTGTGATTTACATTAAGAAAAGTAATTATTCAAAAGAATATGCCATTTTTCAGAGTGAGCGAAGTTTTTAATAATTCTTAGCACTGGTTTTACACTTCAGCAGCTATATTTCTGCAATACCAAAAACCAGTACATTTCTTGAAGGAAGAGACAGACCATCTATCTCCATAATTCATCTAAGAAATGGAAAACCGCCACCTTTTCCATTATGAAAAGTTTCTTCTGGTTAAATTAAGCGACATGGGAATAAAATGAAACAGGAAAAGAGAATATAGAAATACAGAAAGTACCTTCCCAAAAGGTGAGCAGGAGAATTTTGAATCACCTTCCTAAGGAGAGATGTAGACTTTTGAATCCTAGTTCTATATTCTATTTTCACAGAACTAACTTCCTCCAAAGGGTAGTGATCTATGCTTCAACACACAGAGACTTGTTTGAAGTATTCAAAATAAATTTATAATGAAAGACAACCCTGTTTATTCTCTGAAGATATTTAAAGTTTTTTATCTTGCATTTTGCAGATCTTTGAGGGCATCGGGACTTAACTACATTTGCTGCACTGTGCCTTGTCCCATTCAGTTGAAGAATCAACTTTCCAAGTCTTTTCAGAATTAAGTCATTTGAAATTAAGACATTTGAAACAATTCAGATTTCACAAAAGGAATATATTAACATGTGAATGCACTTACAGGCTGTAGTCAAAAATAACTGTAATGGTAACGTATCTATACATCAGAAACACTAGACTGTAATTACATGCTTATCAATGTCATACTGTACTGAAAATATTTAAAAAGTAGCTATCCAGTTACACCACACAAACACACTAAATGCACAGCAGGTTGTATCATTCACTTTTATTTTTCTTTGTAAATTCTTCCACTACAAATAGCACTAGAATTACAATAAAAGGCATGAGAATTAATTTATGAGGAAGGCAAAAGATGTATACAGTTCAGGTAACACAACAAATTGATTGTTACTAACACTAGATGAAATAATATTTTGTGAGAACCAGAAGCTTTTTCCTGAAAAACAAGGATTTATTATGGCTATGAACAAAACTTCTAAATCACTGCCTCCATTACCAAGAAATAGTTTCACACTAAACGCCTGTCGTAACAGTTGTTGTAACTCATCTCAGAATTCCAAAAGGAGAATACACTGAAAGTTGACTATTCGGTTATTAATCCAAACATTGACCAAGTAAATTACATGGACTTAATGAATAACCAATTCTCCCTTGCTATTTGAGACAGCAATTCAACTAAGTTTTTAAACCCAAGCAGGTTAAAATCCTTTCTTTGCTTCTGATTTTACACATCAGAGAAAAGTCAGAACACGGGCATTCCAACTAAGATCTACAGCAAATCCAAGTGAGAAAGTCAATGCTTTAAAATGGTTAAACTGAATTTTATCATAGCTATTTAAACATATCTACTGGGAAGTAAGTACTTCCCAGAGAACAAGCATGAGGCATTTCAACCTAAAGGGTGGAATTTCCAGAAGATTTAAGAACACAAAAAACTCCACTTGGAATAAAAGTCTCTTCTGGCACTGATACCGTTCTGCCAAGTGTAGAGCTACAAAGAAACCTGCATTTTCCATATGATACCTGAAAGCACTCCACGAAGAACTCTTAGAACTTCTATGGAACACTTATTGTAGGAAAAAAACAAGCATTTTGTTAATCTCTAAAATATAACATATATTTACCTGTGAAGTTGAAGTTTGGTGCAACTGTGCTGTCAGCTAAAGTAAACCATATTAATCCAAGACTCATACAGAGGGCGGCAGACACATCTGCAATGTTATAACGTTTTCCTACAAAAGCAATACAAATGACATGAAATGACCGTTACCACTCAGAATTTCATGATTATCCTGTTCAGCAGACCAGAATTCAAAGGAATAAGTGTTCCAATGACATTTTTACTTAAGCAGAAGACTTAATGCTCTGCCCTTTCATGACCAAAACTGGTTTCTTCTGCAACAGAAGTTCTTAATATGGAAAACGATCTTAGCAAATTACCATTTGATTCTTGTGATCAGTTTTAGTTTTAATCCTAATGACATAGAAGTATATTTTCAACGACATAAGGCACATCCTGCCTGACACAGCACAATCTCAGAAACTTTAGATCAGCTTAGATGCTTTAAGATTTTTCCCTCATGAAAGACATTTTGGCTGCCTTTACTGATTAGAGAGAAGTCATTGCCAAACACTAACAGATTATTTGGGTACTTTCAGAACTATATATTGTCTCTAATTTGGAAGAGATGGGATGTGGATGGGAGTGGAAAAGGAGTACAGAAATGAAAAGGCAGGAGTTAGTAACATATTCCTTTCCCAGAAACTGTACTTTCAATATAAGCTTCCAAGGGAACTTTTTTGAACTTCTGAAACTTTAACTGAAATTTTTTACATAATAATTGTATTTTTTTTTTTAATCACAGAGAATACAATGCTACTACAATATATGTTCACAAACCTTTAAGGGAGCACCAGTCTTTCTGCATTAAAATGATACAAATAACTCCTAATAAAAGGTAAATACTGCGCATGCATATGCATATGTAAACTTGTAACCTCTTCTGAAAGTTTAACTTTCTATTGCAAATAGAAGGGCAAAATTAACTTCAACAACAGAAACATATCATCCTAATCTGTTTCATGTCACTTACCCATGCAGAGCTTTACTGACTTCATGAATCTTTGTGTATTGAACAAATAGAAATATTTATAATATACTTAAGTATTTTAAATGCAGAATTACTGAAGTATGTTTATTCACATTATTATACACTTTATCTGTTGCTCTCCAGACCCCTTTTTCTGTTCTTGGAATATGAGCTATGACTTTGGGACTAGCCAAAGACATGTAAAGTCATGCACTTCTGCTTAAACATTTTATCAAGTTAGGAATTTTAATGAGGAATTTGGGATTCAAACAAGAGGAGTTGGGGATTTCGTCACAAAACAGCTATATTTTAATTTTTTTTTCCATTCCAAGTTTTCCATTTCACTATTGAAAATGGTTTATGATGTGATTTGGTTACATTACATAACAATGAAGTTTTGTGAGTGACCTGTACAACTTCTTTTTCCCCACATCTAATTGTATTTATAAATTTTCCAAGAAGACGCTTCAGAAGTAGGTATTTTTTCTCCTAAAGGAAAAATGCTACCTATCCCTCTCCAAAAGCCTCAAGGGCATTTAACAAAGTACAGGATTCCATACATGAATGCCTCCCAAAGAAACAACAAAAAAATAATCTAATAGCAAGACTAACTTACCTTGTATAAAAACCCCACCTATCATAACTGGAATCAGCTTACAGCACTTGAAGATGACTTGAGTAGGGTAATTCAGATATCCTAAAGAGGTATTTGACAAACCCATAGTTCCCACTGTTAAAAACGCTATTATCATGTAGGTTTTGCCAGGAATTCTACAAAATATAAACATACGAATCTTGGTATTACAGTCATATACAGGAGATTTAGCTTGGAAAACAGATAAAGGAATATGTTTGTAATACACTTTGACCATCTTTCTCAATGAATTTCATTTTGCAACAGAAATTTAAAAATGCACATAAATGACTTATATCAAATGTCATTTCTTTCAATTACTGCTAATAAACAGCATTCAAATACAAGACAATAAAAATTCATGGCTCAGCAAGTATTCAAGTAGTAATTATTTAACCTCCTTCTGAGAAGGTATATTATTTACAGAAGAATCAAGATGAAGGCTTCAGTTGATTTGCCAAAGGAAACACAGAAGGTTGGTATACCAAGATACCCTGACTCTTAGTCCTGTCATGGCATTGTGACAATATTTTTTTGTGACGTTTTCACATGATCATTGACATTTTTACAATGCAAATGCTATCTTAAATGAAAGACACAAAACCTAAGCACATCTTTTAAAGCAAACCTACTTAGACACATGGCAAATAGAGAGCAGACCTCTGACACTCTCCAAAACACACAGCATGTTAGAGGAACCTCTTGGTGAGGAGGTGCCAAGGTTTCAGGAAAAGGTATTCAGTGACAGATGGCTTCAAGTGCTGTGAAGTGCAGTTGGTCCTATTCTAGACATGATAATCCCAAGTAACACATGCATGAGTCAGTCTGTTTCAGCCACCCTGAGGATAGAATATGCTCTGTAAGTGGGACAATGTGACAGTAGAGTCAAGAAGACTATTTACAGGTCTCAAATCTAAGTGGGTGCTTCTAAAACATTTCCTAACATTGTTCCAGTAAATTCACATTATTTTAACAACAGAAGTGCTAACAATGCCTCACAGTATTCACATTCAATTTAAATTTACCATAAATATCAAATGCTTCTAATATGATGAACAGTGGGTAAAATACTTGGAAAAACACATACCTTCTCCTTTTGTCCTGAATCAACTGCAATTCTATTAGTCCAAAAATGGAATAAAATCCAAATTGCACTAAAGTGAGGTACCAACCAAAAGCTTTAAAACCTTCCACTGAAAATATCAATTCCTATAAAAACAAAAATCCAGCAAGGTCACGTACAAGCACCAAATTACTAAATCAAACCAAAAATCAACAGAATTTTTGTTTTTATTTCATGTACATGCAAAGCTAGCCTTTGCAGCTGGTGGTTATTAACTGTAAGATTTACCTACTACACATAATTTGCAAAGTATTGAAAAAGATAATTTAGGTTTTCCAAAATGCAATGAGAAAATTTACTACTGGTGTAAGTCCACTGAAATTAACAGATTGGTTCATCAAGGGGAATACATTTGATCCATTCATAGTTATCCCATATTATAGACGGTTTCCTGACTGCTTTTCAGTTCATTTGCTTCAGGAGACTGCTTTTATCCAAAATTTATAAATAGCTCACACTAAATTAAATACTACCTTTCTCTAACAGACATTTACTGGTAATTTCCATCTCTTAGGAATGTGCACCTAGTATTTTGAGTGCCTATATTAAACAGCACATATGAGCTTATAAATTTGCAGGCTGTAGGAATGTAGGAACATTTAAAACTAGAGCAACTTGTTATGGAAAAATACATGCACTGCATAAAGAATTATGCAGATGTGTCAATTATGAAACAAAACGCTACCCAGTATTTTTCTTTTTGAGATTCTGCTTTCAATTACCACTAACTTTGTTTAATTCTCTGGAAATAACTTTATTTTAACAAAATTCTTAGCTGTTTTTGAAAGCTACATTGGAAATATAGCGATTTTTAATTATCAACTTTTAGATCACTGCTTTCCTTGAAATACTGATCTTAAAAAGAACAGAAGTGCAGCTGCTCAAGATAAATGAGAAAAGGCTAGCAAGAAGAGAAATGTTTAACTGAAACAGCATAAATATTATGCTTCTACCTAACCATCATAGTCCTTCAGTTCTTCCCTGAAAGGAGAACAGAGAAAACGGCAGTCTACTACTGTACAGCACTCAGGGAACTCAAGGAGATCTAAAGGTTTCAATATCAATGAAGACTTACATGTCAGTCTATAGGGTTCTACAATTTGTTTGTTTTCAGAAGACTAAGAAATCATATCCAAACAATATTGAAAGGTTTATCTTGCACACAGAAGTAAAAGATCAAGTTCTGAAAGTCCAACTGAACCAAAACTTGTAGGCATATGAATTATAATGGAATCTTACATTACACATTTACTGCTATTAAATTCTGATTCCTATATATGTCTATACATATTAAAAAAATATTCTACATATTACAGAAAAGGAAAAGGGGTAGAAGGAATTGGCCTAGGACACAAGTTCATAGCATTTACCTGTAAATATCCATAGATTAGATAAAACATAAAAACTCCAGAAACACAGATGAAAAATTGAGTAGGTTTGTTAAACTTGCTGAGATTTATGCCAAGAACTACAACATCATCTACTGATTTGATATGAGGAGACATAGTTTGAGATTTGGAAGGTACACTGATGGAAATGTATTTTCTTGAAGAAGTAAATTTCAGATCCATGATTCCTAGTTTGCTGCATTCGGTGCTACTGTTATCTTCTTTCTGCTCTTCTTTTTCTGTGTGTCCTCTGTCTGAACGCTGAAAGAAATGCTGGAGTCAGGTAAGACGTAACATACAGCTTTCCAACAATAACAGTAAACAAATGTGACATTTACATGGAAATTATAAAGGTTTAAGAGTTTTGTTGTTTTTATTCACAAATTTTATTTCTCTTTCCTGATGTCCAAAGTTAACATGAGTTAATATCATTTTATAAAAGGAGTTTTGGTTCATGTGGGAAGCAGTATTCCTACACTATACAAAACAAACCAACTAACCCCAAAACACTAGCAACAGAAGACCAATGTCAGTTTCACAACAACCCAAACTAGCCCTTTTGCACAGGAGTGACTGCTTGGCAAGAAATGATCCCCATGATTAAATCACAATGAAAGAACTGATACTGAAGCACTGTAGTTCTGTCTACTTCATTTTCACAGTGGAACATACTAGACTAGTCCACTGCATGGGAAGCCTTGCTGAAAAATTCACATTTGAGGCTATGACTGGTTACAAGCACTGAACTGGAAGAAGTTATCCCCTCACTCTCATATTTATTCAGTTTCTCCCACAGTTCTGAGGAACACAACATGAAGACAGAAACAAGAAGGTTAAGAAGAGAGTCTCAGAAATTAGATAGGTTATCTGATGAGGTCTGTGGCATGGTCCCTTTAATATTAACCACACGCAGTCATTTCCATGTGTAACAGAAAACAAAACTGGATGACTAAACCTGAAGAAGGAGTTTATATTGAGGCAAATAATTCTTTTTTCCAGCTCCCCAGAGAGTATGATGCTTGAGGGTTGTTTTTTCCTTTTTAGCCTCAAGATAAACACACTAGTCAGTCAGTTGTCTGAAGATTTTAAAGTGTAGGTCAGCATTTAGCTCAGCAAGAAGTCAGTAATTAAATTTTGTTTGCTGTGGTTTGTTTTCCCCAGCTCAAAAATACTTCTCATCACACATATATAAAAAAATGCTTCTCCTGCCATTTTTAAATGGACAATGTATAGTATATAAAAGCTAGATCATGCAATAAATGTAGTAAATGTAATCTGCATGGACACTGGTCATTTAATATACAATATAAGAATTTACAAGTTTAGCTGAAAGATGAAGGATTAGTATAAAAATTGTAATGTAGTTTTTTCATTTTTTTATATAACCTACTATCAGGTTGGAACAAGATTCCTATTAAAGCTCTTAAAAAATAGCTTAGGGACTATAATAATTATCTTTAAATTCACAGCTTTTCAGCTGAAAACCAAAAGCAAGAGGAAGAGAGTTTACCCTTGTACGTTGTTAGGTAAACCCAAAGTGAGGTGGCCAAAAAAAAAAACAAAAAGGGGGGGGGGGAAGAATGATAATGTTTAAGGAGACTTCAGTAAAACCAGTAAAGTACCAATGTCCTGCAAGGAGGCGCACTAGTGAACCTTTAAGCACAATATCATACAGAGTTCTGATAACCCTCAATGACAGATTCAAAGTGCAACTGCAGAAAAGATTATCAGGATGGAGGAACAGATTGTCCTTATGAACAGAAATGAAAGCGGAATTTCACTAGCCAAAAAAACCCTGATGAAAACAAAATTTCAATAAAAGTATCACAAGGGTTACCGCTAAGGAGGAAAGACAGTTTTAAGGACAGTAGAATGATAGCAAATAGGCATGAACTGACCATTAACTAACAGTACTAAAACCTACTTTTTCATCCCTAGACTGTCCGTATTCTAGAGCAGATTAAAAATGAAAGAACAACTGAACTGTTTCTAAGGTGAAGTCTATGAAAGCAATTACATAAATTTGTTGATGCCACACTCTCTCAGCAGGAACAAGAGCTGCAGAAGTAATCTTGTAATTTTGCAGCCAACCTGAAACACAGAAAATGATGTATGCCCAGCAGCAGACACAGTCAAGTACTGTCATGTGTGCTTCAAGAATCCAAAAACTGAGTGAATTGTATAATGCACAGCATTGTACCTACATTTCCCATTCTGGCCACTAATTTAGATATTATTTGTGTAATACCTGTATTAGTATCAGAAGAAGCAGAGGCAAGAAGAAACAGTAACAAGTGCATTTATCTATTGGGTCTGGGTGGGACAGAGTTAATTTTCTTCATAACAGCTTGTATAGTGCTGCATTTTTAATCTGTGATCAAGACAATGCTGACAGCACACAAAAGTTTTAGCTGTGGCTGAGCAGAGCATACACTGCATCAATGCCTTTTCTGTTTCTCCCTCTGTCCCCCACCCAGTGAATAGGCTGGGGTGTGGACAAGAGTATGAGAAGGGGGTAGAATCACACAGGTGACCCAAACTATCTAGAGATATTCCATGTGATAAAAGTATCACACTCAGCAATAAAACGTGAGAGGAGAGGGTTTAGGGAGGTTAGCTGTGTTTTGCTCAGCAACTGATGGGGCATTGATCTACCTGTGGGAGTGATTGCCTTTACATCACCTGTGCTGTATTCAGTCTCTCCTTTGCCACTATTCCCCCATTTCTTAAACAATTTCTACCTCAATGCATAAGTTTTCTTAGTTTTACTCTTCATCTTACCTCACCACTCTGGGGGTGGGAGGGAAAGTGAGCAAGAGACTATACAGTGCTTAGATGCCTACCAGCAGTAACCCACACACAATTTTTCCAGTTTTCAACTATTTGTATTTAAAATGTTTCCTCAGAACACCACCAGTTTTTACAATCGGTCCATTTAATTTCTTGTACATTGACTATTTTTAATCAATTACTGACTCTACCCCTGAAGTAGTAAGAAACAAAACCCAGCCCATCCATAAGAAAATTATGCATAGTACTTAAGGCTTTTTTCAATCATGCTCAAGAAACATTTCAAGAAACATTATTTAACAACTAAAGAAACTGTAAATGTAAATATCCATTTGGAAAACTCTCCAACAAGAAATTTCATTATCAACAGTGACAGAACTCTTCTGAAGTTTAGTGTGACTTCTCAAACTTATTTTTCTAAGTATCACAAATGCTGTTCATCCTCTCACCAAAATCCCTCAAGCAAGTGATTCACCTTTTGAACAAACATGAAGCAAAAATCATAGAACAGTTTGGGTTGGAAGGGGCCTTTAAAGGTCATCTAGTTCCAAACTCACTGCCATGGGCAGTGACACCATCCACTAGACGAGGTTGCTTAAAGCCCCGCCCAGCCTGGCTTTAAACACTGCCAGGGATGTGGCAGCCACAAACTTCTCTGGGCAACCTGTTCTAGTGCCTCACCATCCTCATAGTAAAGACCTTCTTCCTTATATCTAATCTAAACTTACCCACTTTCAGTTTAAAGAAAAAAATACGTTTTATGAAGAGCCAAGTGACTTAAGAGCTGTCCTGATATATAAAATAGCATATTCCCCTCCTCTTTTTTTCCCGTGTGTAAAAATGTAAACAACACATTTAGATAAGAGACTTTTTGTTTCTCCCCCTTTGAAATAAAGTCCCATGCAGTGCAAGATTTTAACCTAGCACACAAGTAAAACAGAGCACTACATCAAAAAGAGGCAAATGAATAAGTAACTGCAAAAGCCCCACAAAAAAGTTAATGACTTGTACCAAACATGAAAAAAGCACTGTGAAAGAGCTGGGGCTTTTTTTATTTAACCCTGAAGAACATTTGTAAAAACATGAGTTTGGCAGAAACTAGCATCTCAGTACTCTCAGAAAAATCACTTGCACGAGCTACACAAGGCAAGTTCCACGCTGGCCCTAGCCATGGCCATACATGATTTCCTTTGGAGCAAATTCCACAAACGCTTGGTGGCAGGCCAGCAGCTGACACCCTAACAGGGATGCTCCGGGTTATAGGGACCAACTGCACGTCTGTGGGATACCTGAACGGATCCCTTTCTTGGTGGTACCTCGCTCCTGCCCCGCAGACAAAAGAGAGAATGGAGATAGGGACCAACACGATCACTGAAGCTTTCTTCCTGCTGACTCGCCTGCGCCCAGCCCTCTGCCAGCGGGCTGTCGAGGGCTGGCCCACGCCACACCCCAAAGCCAGGACAGACGTGGCTCTGCCGGAGCACCTGCCAGCTGCCCGGGGAGGGCCGCAACAGAGGCTCCCCACCTGCAACAGGCCGCCATTCGTAGCTCCGCCCCGGGGGGAAAGGGACGCCTCGCTACTCACAGGCCCCAACGCCGCGGGACACCGCCTCCTCAGGCCGACCAAACTCCTCCCGCCACTCAGCACCAGCCACATCCCGCTCCTGCCCGGTCCCCAGCACCCTGCGCTCCTCACCATCGCACCCATGGCCCCCGGTTGCCGGGTGACGCTCCCGAGGAAGCGACCGCGACCCCGCCTCCTCCCCCCTCGTCCCGCTGCGTGCCGGGGAAACGCAGCCCCGCCCCCGTACCTGTTTGACGGGAAGGGGGAGGCGGGGGGAGGCGCGGGGAGGGAGGGGCACGGCGGCAACGCCCAGCTGCCCTCCGCCGCCACCGCGGCTCCCGGCCCCCTCGCCTGCCTGGCGCACCGCCGGAAGTGGCGATGGGGATACCAGGGGTCGGCGTGAGCACCGAGAGCATCGAGAGAGCTCCGCTCACTCACTCGGCGTTCTGCTATTCGTCCTGAAGCGGGTGGTGGCGCTCTCAGGCTCACATCTCACTCCCCTCCTCCGCCCTCCCTCGCTGGGGCGGGGTCTAATCGTTAGGACACGCCCACCTCGGCGGCGAAGGGGCGGGGCTTGCAGGGGCGGCTGTTTCTCTCTGGCGGCGGTGGGTTTAGGCTGCCTCGGGGTGGGAGCGGGCAGTAGTCAGCTCTGTCCTGCCGGGGCGCAGCCGAGGCTGGGGGAAGGCAGGACTAGGTGGTGGGAGCCAGCGTTCCTGCGCTCGGGGTGCGCCCTGTTCCTCACCTGCCTGCTCCTCTTGCAGAGGTGGCGGGTTGCGCCCGTCTGATGAGGGCGCGCAGGGGCGCCTCGGTAGCGGCGCGGAGGGGGCAACGATTGATTTCAACAGCCGCCGTGGGGGTGTGGCCGCGTGCCCTTCCGGGCTGGGTGTCACCTGTCGGGTCCGCAGGGAGCGGGGTGGCCCTGACGTTGGTGAAAAGCCCAGTGAGAACGCGGCTGAGTTTCACAGCTTGATGGGATCGAAATACCAGAATGCGTGGCAGGGAGGTGCGTTCCGAGGTTTGCCTGATGCTCCGCTGTTCTAATGTGAGCAGTAAATCACCCGCGTGAAGCGGCTGCCTTCATAAAAATCACCCAAAGGAGTTTTACTCTACACTCACACTGCCTTGTGATCCTCACACGTGAGGCTGCAGGAGGGAGATAATGAAAATATTTAATAATGACAAGCGGAAAGGTGAACGAGAGCAATAACAGCAAAACGCGTAGAGAACATAATGGCCAAAAGAAGCGGGTAAAAAGCGTAGGGAAAAGGTAGCTACAGGAATTTTCTTGAAAATGTATGAATTAGTTGTAACTTGAAAATACGTCAAGTCTAGCTGTTAATCGTATCGGGCTATGAAATGGGAGTTCTGTGTTTCTAGGAACAGTACAGAAGTACTTAACATTATAAAGAAATACGTATATTGTCCTTTAGTGTTTCGAAATTAGAGTTTTTATGTTTGAAGTGTTCTACAAGTTACCCTTTATCTTTTCGAGTGCTAGCATAGTAAATCGGCATGTATGATGGGGAGCAGCAAGAAGTGCAGCGACATTTAGAATAATTTTATTTATTAAGTAACGAATGCCAAAAAAAAGTGTATGCTCGAGGTTGAAATTAAGAAAAAGCGAACCCCCAAACCTTTTGGCAAACTCGGCACTGCTGAGAAAGAGGATTAGTGATGGTTGAGCATCTGCAGCCATCTTCTTGAGAGGTTCCAGTGCTTCCTGGTTTGGGTTTTCGCTATTTAGGTTGAGGATTTCACATTTAGCAAATAACTGTGCTTTTTTTTTGCAGCAATAGGGATGGTGCTTCTTGCTGTCTTCATGTTAGAAGTAACTGCCTTAATAAATAAATATATTCAAGCTTGCATGTGGTCAGCTGGGATTTCCTTGTTTCCTATAGGTAAATTCTCTAGGTAGTGTCTGTAATGAGCTTTTCTATTAAAGGTATAAGTGGAGTGACTACTTGTCCACGATGGTGTTTTTTTCCCAGTTACAGCTAGGTGGGAAACGGGTATGAAGAGGAAGTGCAAAGCTTCCAACTCTGTGAAGCTTGAAGGCAAGTTAAACTACATAGGAGCCAAGCTTTGGAGTAGAGTGTGCGTGAATGACTTAGTGGAAGCAGGCAGATACAGGAGGAAAAATCAAATCATACCACTAAATGGGATTGACTGAGTAACCCATACATGGAATGAGGAACCTGTGGAGGTGGGCCTTTTGACGAGGAAAAGCATTGAGGAGACACACTGGCCAATGTGAATCTGATGCTCCCTGATACCTGAGACTTTTCAGTCTGGTTGCTGTCTTACTGTAACTTTTTTTTTTTTGTTGTTGTTCAGAAATGTAGAACTTGTTTTTTGTCTCTAAAGGTGTCCTGCCTGTTGGTAAAGGACGTGCATTTTGCCATTTGCAATGTGGGTTTCTGTTTGTGTTATTCAAACTGCGGAAGTGTAGAGTGGATGTATGTTGAGGAATGTTTTCTTTACATAAAGCAGAAGAATGAACGACGAGTAGGATGTTTGTTATTGATCTTACAGATGTTTTTGCAGTCTGCAATATGAACACGTATGGATTACTGGTAAAGCTGGAGAGCAAATTACATTTTCTTTTATCGTTTTTAAAAATGAAGTTAGAGCTTATGAAAGGTACTGGATTCAGACTCTGGGGGCTTAACTTCTCTCTTTATCCAGAAAATAGATATTGTACATCACAAGCAGAAGCAGTGGAAGCATTAAGGATCTCAAAGTTCTCATGCTGCCTGTACCTGTCTGTACTACTTCTGCTTTGAAAAAACTCAAGGTGCCAGTAGGGAAGCTTACTCTGTATAGGCGTGCTTAATCCTGTGTCTGTCTTCTGGAATGCGTAAATGAAGATACAGTAATGCTGTTGGCTGTAGTTCTGTTGACAAGAACTTTTGTTCACTGCAATCCAATTTAGAAGTGCCAGCTTCATGTTAGGTTTTGTTGTCTTTGTTGTCTAGCCTAGATTGTTTTCCAGGTGTTTGAATACGAGCATTTCTAATATTTCAGCTGTGAAGTGGTATGCCTGTACCCGTGCCCTATACAGTAGGTTGGGAAATAGCAGGACAAAGGTGTTATGTGTTTCTTGTTAGTAGAAGGGAATATACAGAATATTCTTGCCAAGTGCACATCTTGCTGTTTGCTAGTGGATTATGGACAGTAGTATCTTCGTGGCATAACGTGTTCCTATTAAGTATTTAAAGGAGTGAAAAATACTTCCCATGTGTGCAAAAATTACCCAATACAGGAATGTTTCCCCTTGAAACATGTACATAGGCCTGCCATTAATGACACAAGTATCCATAAACATTTCCACCTGGCTGATAAATAAAATAAAGTTAATAAAGCGAAACAATGAGGGTTTTTTTTTGTTGTATTTCAGCATGAAAAGCAAAGTAATGCAGCTTTCAAAAGCTTGAACCTGTGTCTTAGAGCTGTGTGCTTTCTTAGCTTTGTATAAATGATTTTAGAATCTGCTTTGTTGACTAAAATGTGATACCTGCAAATGAGGATGCAGTCTTGGAGCCTTAATACAGCTAAACCCAATGTAGTTTATTGATCTTTACCAAAAATGGTGGAGAATTGCATGCAAAGCCTCCCATTTTTCTGTGAATTTTGCTTTAGGGTCTGCATTCAAAACACGTAAGTATTATGCAAAAGTAAGTATTTTGGTTAAATGAAAGTGCATTCCGGCTGTTGTAACTTGTCATCTGCTGAACTTGTGGGAGTTGGGTGAACCTAGAAATTTGATTGACAAAAGAAAAAAGACTGTTTACCTGTCTAGTATGGGGAAGAGGGGGGAGAAGAGCAATATTTGTCTTCTGTTGACAAATATAATGGTGTTACTGATAATTTAATGCCATATGTTTCACAGTAAGGTTTTCCTGCCAGCTCTGTATGGGTTTTTGTTGCTGTTAACTCAGATGCAGTGGAATGAGAGCAAAATAAATACGGAATTTGGGAATAAGATCCCATCCAAACTGTGGATGGCTAGTTAAGTATAATATCCATGCAATTAAAAAAGTACCTTAAAATGTGTATTTTTAGGCTTCTCTGATAAATGTTTTCTGAGTCCTTTCCTGTATTTTCCTGAAATTCTAGCTACAATGATTTTTCTTAGCCTAATTTTTAAAACCTTTATTAATGTATTCCTTGTACTACTACATTTTTCTGCCTCAGAAACTAAATTGCAGTTTTAACAGTAACAAAAAGCTCTATGATTATAGAATACCCAGTTTGAAATGTGTGATGCATCGCTTCATTTTCAAGGGAAAGCTATTTTATCTAGAATTATAAAGTTAAATTAAGGTTCTGCCTCTGACATTACAGAGTACTGTAATACCGATTTTTAAATTGCACTTAAAACATGGGACATACGACCAGACAGATAATCTATCAAGTGTTGATAACTGTCTAGATACAACTTCATTATTCCTGTCTTGTCACTGGTGCATATGCATGTTAATACTTGGAAGTGCAAAGAATAAGTAATCTTTTCAGAGTGGGTGTGTGGATGTATATTCTACCACTTGTTTGGAATAACATTGTAAGGAATTTTGCAGTCATAACTGGTTGATATCAGAAAAATTGTGCTTAAGCCTGGTTGCATTCAAATTACTTTGTACTCCATGATCTGAGGGAGTTAAGGTAACTTTACCAGTCAGTTTATGTCACAGGCAGCCTTCTTTAGAGTAACTTCTTTTTATTCATAAGCAGTTCTGGACAGGCTTATGGCCTGAAATTGACAATGTTACACTGATGACACTCTAGAGCCTGTGAGTAAAAGCTGTCTCACTTGTGCCTGCGGGTCTTCTGTTACGCTGGAGACAAAGAGTGCTAGTGAGGCAGGTTGATTGATAGAATGTTTTATATAAAAAAATTTCTCACTGTCCTATAGCATGATTTTTTATTTTATTTTTTTTAGTAGTTTAGGGTCTTCTAGACTGTGAATAACAGGGTGTGTCATGGCTGTTGCAAAGTCTGAATTCAGGCCCTACTTCTGAGAAGTGAAGATGTGATAGATGTTCTTTCTTGAAGTGTAAGATTTGGGAGGTTTGCTCAGTAAGGGTGGCTTTTTATACGTACTGGAGTTGTGATGTGTGCTTTGATGAAATGTTGAGGGATATCCGGGCTTGAGAACTAACCTAAGAACAAATACTGGGTCAGATCAGAGATCTGTTTATTCACTCTCTCTGATGGAGTCTCAGGAACTGAAGATAACATTCAGGAGTCCT